CAGAAATAAAGTATCATTCCTATCTAGAGTACAGGGCTACTGTAGAGATCAAGTAAGATAGCAAGCCTTGTCAGCACATGAATTATTGTTGAATTAATCCATAAACAATGCAGTGCTTTAAAAATCATTAAGCCCTGAAGAGTATGAGACATTATCTGTATCAGCACAACCACAGAATCTGTATTCTTAGAGATTTAAGAAAAAGGATCCTCACATATATACTCGGGGGTTGGGAGATGTACAAAACTTTACCCAAAGCCATAAACTCTCTGAAGTTACATAACAGAATTTTGTTCACATAAAACAAATAGAAAATGTTCTACTTCTTTGCTTCTAAAATTAAGAACAGGAAATACAGAACTTGTTATAAGAACTATAAAACAGGAGGCAATAGAAAATCATGGAAAGAACACAGAACTCTCTGGAAGCCAGAAGACTTGGGCTCTGGTCCCTGTTCTACTAATATTTAACTGCAATGCTGCAATATCTGTCAAATGGAAGGAATATATTAGCGGACCTTTATAGTCTCTTTCAGATCAAAGCACCATAGCCCCAAATGAAATAGAACAAATAATGTAAAATACAATTTTTCTATGCTATGGACAATTAAGGGAAAGGGGGAAAACAAGAGTAGAGAATAAAACAGATGGACAGAAAGAGAGGAAGAGAATAAATAGTAATGAAAAAAAAGACCAAAAGGCAGACACACACAAACTCTACCCCCAGTTCCCTCCCCCTCAAAAAAAGAATTATATGAATAAAGAGACAGAAGAAAGATACACACTAACAAAATGACACTCAGATGCAGAAATAAATACGCACATAAAAACTTTGGTGGAATTATGCTCTTATTTTGTTCATCTTAAAACTTTAAACACAAAACTACCCAAAAAAATTAACATAATGTTGTACTTTTACATTAAAAGGCATAAACTGAATTAGTTCAAAGCAGGTGCCTCATGAGCTAGATACAATCAAGTTGAAGGTTTAGGATTAATTGCTGCCATATGCTACTAATATTTTTTAGCAAAATGTCGCTTGATAATTTGAGATCTCACTTCCATGGGTCAATTCCAACCAAACAAGCCAAAGATGAACTCTCCTAAAATAGAAATGTATCCCAAGAATTTTTTTATGAACCAGGGCTTAGTATTTTGCTTCCAGATAGGCAGGATTTAAATATTTTAACTTAATAGTTACCAAGTATGTAAAGTGTAAATCCCACATTGCCATTTAAAGTCTGTATTTGGGCATTTTCCTATTTAATCTTCTCTGTATGGTGTAGAGGGTGCTGGATAATGTAACTCCAGCACTCTCCTTTGATTCCCTCCTAAGATGAGGCCCTTCAGACCTACAGGCTTTTCTGAGCTCCAAGCTGAGATAATCCCCATTCACTATGAAGTCAGCCCAGATTGACAAGAATAGGCAACACAAGGGCTCCCGATGTTTATTCTCATCTCTATCTGCTAGGAACTCTGCAAAATTATATGAGTTTTCATATCTGTAAAGAGAAAACCTGCAAGATTCATAGGAAGCTTTTCTTTCTTGTAGATAATAAGAGTTGGAAGAAAAAACACACAAGACTTTGCTGGGTTTGTTTGGTTTTAGCTAACTCCTTGGACTTTTGTGTACTTTGGTTTTTCCCTCTATGAAATGGAACTATAACAATCCCACTCCTCCCTAACACAACTGGTGATGGAGAAATAAACAGCATAGCAGATATGAAAGCACTTATAGCTCTTTGGAGGATGAGGGTTGGATCAGTTCAGTCCAAGTGTCTGAGACATTCAACAAGAATAACAACAACGATAATGAGCACTTGGGTTTGAACAGGATTTAACAGTTTATACAATTTTTTTAATTTTTAAAAAACTTTCAAGTTCAGGGGCACATGTGCAGTTTGTTATATAGGTAAACTGCATGTTGGTCAGGTGCAGTGGCTCACGCCTATAATCTCAGCACTTTGGGAGGCCAAAGTGGGCAGATCACAAGGTCAGGAGATGGAGACCATCCTGGCCAACATGGTGAAACCCCTGTCTCTACTAAAATACAAAAAAAAATTAGCTGGGCCTGGTGGTGTAGTCCCAGCTACTTGGGAGGCTGAGGCAGGGGAATCACTTGAACCCAGGAGGCAGAGGTTGCAGTGAGCCAAGATTATGCCACTGTACTCCAGCCTGGTGACAGAGCAAGACTCTGTCTCAAAAACAAAAAACAAACAACAAAAAAAAGTAAATTGCATGTCATGAGGGTTTGGTGTATGGATTATTTCATCACCCAGGTAACAAGCATACTACCCGATAGGTCATTTTTCAATCCTCTCAAAATGTTTTAAATATATTATTTCATTGGCCTTTATAACAAGGTATGAAGTAGGGAGGCTATTTTTTATTTCATTGGACAGATAAAGAAATTGAGGCCAAGAGGAGAGTGCCTTGCCCAAGATCAAACGGCTAGTAAACAACAGGACATGACATGAAATCTAGTGCTCATTCTAGTTTACCAAACTACATATGCAGTTCATGCCTATTTCCTTTCATTCCTATCCTCCTTCAAGTGAGGCTTGCTTGGCAGGAGGCCTCTAATTAGAAATCAAAGCTTTCTATCTCTCATGTATAGTTCTAATCTATCAACTGTATAGAGAGCTTAAATTTGACTTGAAATTCTCCTTCGGTCAATATCTGTGAACTCTGGGTCTCATGAGTCATCCAGGCCTTAAACTTTCCTTTTGAATACCATTATTTGTAAATTTTGCTATTTCACATATTACCACATAGTGTCTGTTAAAGCAAACTAAATATAGCTTGAGAAGGACTCCGTACTTCTACATTTGAGTCCCTGTGGATGAACTGTAACCTAGCTTAATAGGCAGACAAGATTGAAAACCTAACTTAGGAGTATGCGCCTGTAACAATAGCTGAGTCTTGGCCAGTCCCAGCGGTCATACTTCAACCACTCATAGACTGCTAAGCATTCAAACTGTGTTCAAAGAAGGTAAACGTCAACCTGTAACCAATCCAGCTGTTTCTGTACTTCACCTCCAATTTCTGGACATCATTTCCCTTTTTTTTTATCTGTAAGTTTGTTCTGACCACAAGATATCCCTGGAGTCTCTCTGAATCTGCTGTGATTCTGGGGGCTGCCCAATTCACAAATCGTTCATTGCTCAGTTAAACTCCTTCAAATTTAATTCAGCTGAAGTTTTTCTTTTAACACATCTGAGCCACAGATCAGTTCCTTGGATCCTCCCTCCTCGGCCTCCCAAGTAGCTAGGACTACAGGTGCACACCACCATGCCCAGTTAATCTGTGGTATTTTTATGCTGTTCCTCATTGTGTTTTTCATTGTTGAAACCATGACAGACCTAAGTATTCTTAAGGTGATTTCTTTCCAATAAGAAACTGTTAAGCCTTAGATCTCAGAGGGAATGTGAGAACAGGCCATCATAATTTCAAATAGCAAACAAAATTGCATTCCCTTTCATTCCTATTGCTCAGTTCCCTTTATCAACGTTATTTATGTTGTTTTCCTCAAACTCCTAAAGAATAAACCAAGATGAGGTTTTTTTCCCCCTTTGCTGTCTTTCCAAGTTTTCTCTTTGGGCCAGAAATCCCAGCACTTTGAATGGCAAGGAATCCTTCAAGCCTGTTGTACATCATGGTATGAATAATTCTACTGAATATAACCACCCTACACTATGCTGAGCCATAGAATCAGAGCCTGCTTTTCCTCTGGAAGTTAGAAGAAGGGATCTGCAGGAAGGAAGAACTGGAGGAATGCTTTTTAAATGAAGTTAATTCTGGGTAATAGCTCACTAGACACTGGCTGCCTTCCTTGCCTTGATCTCCAAAATCTGAGCGATGTACCCAGAAACTGCCTATGGCTTCAATCCCAGAGAGTGGAAGAAGTGAAAAGAAGAGAAGGCATATGCTATTCCATAGCAGACATGTTCTGTAATTCTGGCTCCCAAACTAAAGGCTGTAGACTGTCTCTGGGCAGTAGAGCTGACAAATTTTATTCAACATACATATACTGAGTACCTACTATGTGCTCTATGTTGGGGCTGAGGGACAAATTCAGATGTGTGTTCTCACTTAATCTTCACAACTACTCAGATAGATAGATATTATCTATCCCTGTTTTACAGATAAGAAAACTGAGGAGGAAGGGTAACTGACCTACATCAAATTCAGACAGATACCAAGAAGTGACGCTCCAACTGGAACCTGTCTTAGTCCATGTGTGATGCTTTAACAAAATAACACAGACAAAATATCACAGAGTTATAAACAATAGAAATTTATTTCTCACAGTTTTGGAGGCTAGGAAGTCCAAGATCAAGGTGCCAACAGGTTCAGTGTCTGGTGAGGGCTCTTCTCTTCCAGAATGGTACCTTGTTGCTGTGTCCTCACATGGCAGAAGGGACAGAAGAGGCGAACTCACTTAGGGCCTCCTAATCCATTCATGAGGGCAGAGCCCTCACGGCCTAGTCACCTCCTAAAGGCCCTACCTCTTAATACTGCTGCACTGGGGATTAAGTTTCAACATGAATTTTGGAGGGAACACAAACATTCAAACAAACCATAACAGAATCCAACTTCAAACACAGTACTCAGGCCTCCACAACACAATCCCTATCCTCCTGACTTTTTATAGTCCATTGAAGCAAGTGGGTGCACAGTCAGGTGACCCTAAAAAAAAATAGAAGTTGGCCAGGTGCGGTGGCTCACGCCTGTAATCCCAGTACTTTGGAGGCCGAGGTGGGCAGATCACGAGGTCAGGAGATCGAGACCATCCTGGCTAACATGGTGAAACCCTGCCTCTACTAAAGATACAAAAAATTAGCTGGGCATAGTGGCACGCACCTGTAGTCCCAGTCTCCTGTAGTCCCCATCTCCTGCCTCGGGAGGCTGAGGCAGGAGAATCGCTTGAACCTGGGAGGTGGAGGTTGCAGTGAGCAGAGATCACACCACTGCACTCCAGCCTGGGTGACGGAGCAAGACTCTGTGTCGAAAAAGAAAAAAAAGAAAAACAGAAGTTGATAGGGATAGAAACACATTTGGCTGCTTCTATAGTTAACAAGATGCTGTTACATTCCTTGCCTCACGAGCTCTAAAGACTAAACTAGCGGGACAAAGAAAGCACCTGAGATGAGATGAGAGGAGAGTAAAGGTACAGAGAGATTCCCTGGATATTTGTTCTCTGTCCTCTCAGGGGCTTTGCTACCCCTAGAGAATTATCCATATTAAGAACTTGCATTAATATTCTGGGTTCTGTTTCATTTTTTAGGGTCTCAAGAGCATGCTCAAGTCATTCACGTGTTTCCATCAAATACAGACACAGATCAGGGAAGATTAAACCCTACTAATTTCTCATCAGATGCCTCAGAACAAAGTGCCTTTCAAGAACTAATGGTCAAAATATCCACTCACAAGACAAATAAGCTTATAAAATCTCTTCTTACAATCCTGACATAATGGAAGTTTCCCTAAACCACCCAGCATCTAATACAACCAGCACAAAGAACAACTCAGCATTTTTTTACTTTGAGTCCTGTCAACCCCCTTCTCCAGCTTTACTCCTATTACTTATAGCCTATACTGTGGTCTTAATTGGGGGCCTTTTTGGAAACCTCTCTCTCATCATCATCATCTTTAAGAAGCACAGAAAAGCTCAGAATTTCACCAGCATACTGATTATCAATCTCTCCCTCTCTGATATCTTAGTGTGTGTCATGTGCATCCCTTTTACTATCATCTACACTCTGATGGACCACTAGATATTTGGGGATACCATGTGCAAACTCACATCCTATGTGCAGAGTGTCTCAATCTCTGTGTCCATATTCTCACTTGTACTCATTGCTGTCGAAAGATATCAGCTAATTGTGAACCCCCGTGGCTGGAAGCCCAGTGTGACTCATGCCTACTGGAGCATCACACTGATTTGGCTGTTTTCCCTTCTGCTGTCTATTCCCTTCTTCCTGTCCTACCACCTCACTGATGAGCCCTTCCGCAACCTCTCTCTCCCCACTGACCTCTACACCCACCAGGTGGCCTGTGTGGAGAACTGGCCCTCCAAAAAGGACTGGCTGCTCTTCACCACCTCCCTTTTTCTGCTGCAGTATTTTGTTCCTCTAGCCTTCATCTTCATCTGCTACTTGAAGATTGTTATCTGCCTGCGCAGGAGAAATGCGAAGATAGACAAGAAGAGGGAAAATGAGAGCCGGCTCAATGAGAACAAGAGGATCAACACAATGTTGATTTCCATCGTGGTGACCTTTGGAGCCTGCTGGCTGCCCCTGAATATCTTCAATGTCATCTTTGACTGGTATCATGAGGTGCTGATAAGCTGCCACCACGACCTAGTATTTGCAGTTTGCCACTTGGTTGCTATGGTTTCCACATGTATAAACCCTCTCTTTTATGGCTTTCTCAACAAAAATTTCCAAAAGGACCTGGTAGTGCTTATTCACCACTGCTGGTACTTCACACCTCGGGAAAGATATGAAAATATTGCCATCTCCACTATGCACACAGACTCCAAGGGGTCTTTAAGATTGGCTCGTATACCAACAGGTATATGAAAATTGATAATACTTAATGCTGAAGCTCTTCTTGAATGGGAGCTAGACAGGTAATGGTTGGGAATAGGGCAAGATGCAGAAAGAAGAAACCAGAACCAAAAATAGCAACTTTATACCCACTTTTGCTTTAGGCTAAGACTGCCGGTCTCATATGTCTATCCAACATACCCTCCAACATACATAAACACACATACCACCCCTTTTCTCTTAAGAGAATAATAATTCAAACAACCTGGCCGCCATCATTTGTGGCAAAGAATGAGAATGAGAAAGCAGACAGAGAGGCAAGCAGCAGTGATGGCTGGGGAACAATGTTCACAGATACTTTTATTCAATGGAATATCTACAAAAGTTATGACTAATGATATGCCAAGTAAAAACACTGCTATACCTCCTTAGCACTGAAGCAATTCTATTCTCAGATATGAAAACTGTAACTTTCAATCATATAACTATTCAATTAATTAGCCAAGTCAGAAAATCCTCCCTTATAATTCATTAATTAATTAACAAACTAATTAAGTTTGGACTAAAGTTGAAGGGCTGGTTTTAACTTAACATTTAAACTACGTGTTGTAATTACAATTAATTCCCATGCTTGAAACATATCTCTAGTTTGTGATAACAGTACATTTTTTCACTAACAATGCTATTAGAACTGGCCACAAATTCTTTAGCATAGCAATTATGCTAGAAATCGCTTTAACTTATTAATGGCCAATATAGATACAGCTTTCCTCACAAAGTGGCTTTTAATCCCTAATTCTTTATGTATATTAAACAGAGGTCATTATGACTCTATCACTGGATCTCAGAGACTTTGTCAGTAGCATTTTTATAATTGGCACCAGATTTTTAAAACCTTCTCATATATCTTGTGGCTTAAACATTTTTAAAAGAGCCCTCATCCCACAGAGTTACTTACATAGGGGAATCAACTAGACTGTTCTCAAAAGACACTAAGCTACTGTTCAAATGGCTATTAATTCAGTCACTTTTACTAAATTGTGACCAGCTTTACCACTTCCTAGAACAAACCTCCCCTGTATCTATCAAATTTGAACTGCAGCTTATTTGTATGTTAAAAATGTAACTGTAAGCTGGACTCAGCAACTTACACCTGTCATCCCAGCCCTTTGGGAGGCCAAGGTGGGAGGATCACTTTTGCTCAGAAGTTGAAGACTGGCCTGAGCAACACAGTGAGACTCCATCTCTACTAAAAATACAAAAAATTAGCCAGGTGTGGTCATGCATACCTGTAGTCCCAGCTACTCAGATGAGAGGATCACCTGAGCCTGGGAGATCGAGGCTGCAGTGAGTCATGATCACACCACTGCACTCCAACCTGAGTGACAGAGTGAGACCCTGTCTCAAAAAAAAAAAAAAAAAAGTAACTGTATTTTCTTTTGAATAAAAAGTAATATTTCTGTGAACACCTGTGATTTTTCTATTGTGCTTTTTCTTGCACATTAGCTTTCACATTTTCCTCTCCTGAAAATCTCTTTCTCTCTTCCTCCTTCCCTTCTTCCCTTATTCTCTCTTTATTCATTCTCTTCAGGATTTCTCTTCTCTGTTTTATCATTTTGGAATAAATGAACAACAAAAGCACTGCAGAACACACAAACGAAATAAAATCTAACCATCTCATGGCAGTAGCTGTAAATGTTACTTTACTTACTTGGTAAAGAAATGCCGATTCTAGGCTGGGCATGGTGGCTCACGCCTGTAATCCCAGCACTTTGGGAGGCCAAGGTGGGCAAATCTCTTGAGGTCAGGAGTTCGCACCAGCCTGGCCAAAATGGTGAAACCTCATCTCTACTAAAAATACAAAAAATTAGCCAGGTGTGGTCATGCATACCTGTAGTCCCAGCTACTCAGATGAGAGGATCACCTACCACTAGATATTTGGGGATACCATGTGCAAACTCACATCCTATGTGCAGAGTGTCTCAATCTCTGTGTCCATATTCTCACTTGTACTCATTGCT